CACACATCGTTTAACCAGAGAGCTATTTGAAATCCATCAGGGGGGCCCAGAAAATGTTTGGAAACCACTGGCCAAGGAATCCAACTAACAGACTCATGGAAGGAACTCAAGGTTCAGTAGAACACACCATCACACTCTGTCCACTGGATGGACCTTTTTATCATCGTGCATCATGATGCCATGTGTTTCTGTGAATTATGCACTCACACCCTGGCATCCATTTGATTTTGAAGAAAATGTAATCCACTGGACCAAACTGCCTTCTTCCATTGTTCTGAGGACAAGTCAGTATGAACACAAACTGGACTGCTGCTAAGGCACATATGCAATAAATTGTAATGATGTTGCGCATAATGTATGTATGCATTTGATTGAAGGTTTGTGCTGTATTCTGTAGCACTTATATCACCTCATCACTTTCTAACATGTCAGAGCACCACTGTCTTTTATGACCTGACGCTAGACTGCTACGTATTCTATAATTATACTTCCTATCTCTGACCACAGGGGTGCGCCATCAGAACCCGCTGAACCAGGAGATGACTAATGAGAAAGGTGGCCCTGGTGGGAGCGTCTTTTTTCTGTGCCTGATGTCTAACTGAGAGAACTTTATGCCTTCTGTTTACTGTTGCTTGTTTGGTCATCATGAATGCGTATTTATTGTAGAACATATCCACCCCAGAATGCTCACACCTGGTTAAACAATGTGCACACATGAGATTCATATGATTATTTTTGAGGTGGGTGATGTTCACTTTTGGTGGTTCTGCAGTTCACCCCAAGATGATTTATGCAAAAGAACAAAAAAAGGTTGACATTATTTTTACACAGTGCAATGTTTTATAAAAATAAATGTATAGACATGTGTCCAGGTGTTTTGAATTAGTCCCACATATTCACCTAAATGTTGGGAGTCCTTGAATCTCTCTACATGTGTTGGCTCTGAGTCTTGATATTTCCTCACAGGGATATAAATCTACAGTCTTCCAATACATGTTAGACACGCAGTGTGTTTGTGTGTTACACAGATAAGGGTGAACGACAAGCTCAGTCATTTCATCTCAGAAAAATGGCGTCTTGTGAACAATATGAGGGAAAATAGCTTCAGTGTACTTGCGAGGCAGGAGCAGCTGTGCGACTGAATCCAGACTCTGGCTCATCAAAGTAGCTCCAGAACACGCAGCATCTGCTCTGTGGCCCATCAACTTAATACAACAGACAATAGACAGGGAAATATATGAGAAGAGAGGCGAGGGGAGGAGGTGCTCCTGGCTGCTGTATCTCCCCTCTTTCTCTCCCCCCTCCCCCCTCTCTCCCCCCCATTTCACCGAGTCTACAGGCTCGTCAAGCAGAGAAATAAACAGAATCGAGCGCTGAGGAGAGAGGACGGTCCCCCAACCCTCCCTCCCCCCCCCCCCCTCTCTCGCGCGCGCCATCTGTCCATCTTCATCCAGCCTCTTCTTTTCATGGAGAGGAATTATCCCACAGCAGGATTTGGAGACCTAGGGGCTGGGACGGGATGGAATTACGACAGATCGGCGAAAGCAAGGTAAGCGTGTGGTGGTGGGAACGAAGGAGGCTCAGATGAAACAATGCCAGTGAACAGTGCTGCCTGCTCCGCTGCATTCAGCCACAGAGGCACGGTGCTGCTGCTGGCGCTTCATGGCCACCAGTCTCAGGTACAGCAAGCAGTATTGTCATCCAGGAAAGGGGAGGGGTGTCGGGGGCTGTCTCTAACTAAAATGCATGGAATGCGTTGGAAGGTTAATAGTGATCTGAAGACCAAGGAGAGGAGAAATATGAAGGGGGATGGGTTGTTGCGAGCAGAGACTAATAAAAATAAGAGAAATGACTTGCAGGTTTCATCACTGCATTGTCTCCGCTGCACCTTTGTCTTGCTTATTGGCTTCACCAGTGCATGACAGGTCTCCCCGGCTGCTGTACTGGAACGCCACTTAATTAGATATGTTCAAAATTAAAAGAGATTTACTGTCAGCAGCCATCAGGCAAAGTAATGCAATACACGGATCTACTGACAAGTGAAAGAGAGCGCAGAGGTACGTATGTTTCTGATCTGAGTGGAGAACAAAAGTTCCCTGTCTCTGCTCGAGCCGTGTACCTGCCGAGGTGCGCGGGTCGGCTCGAGCTCAATCAACTGACGCAACTGGAACATAAAGGTGGGAACGTTCTTTCCTTATCAGTGAACAATACTTTACAGTAATGTCACATGACAGACGACGTTGCTCAGGATATCACGCCGTTTAATTTTACGCGGTAGGGCTAACACTTCCACAATGTTAATAGTTTCGGCTCCTGCTCGCAGGATGTTTCCCACGGTAGGAAGCTGGAGACCTGTCCGTTGACGGATACGTCGAGTTTAATCAAGCTCACGGTGGACTTTGTGGGTATGTGTCTGTAAATTGGGGGGAGGCAGATTAAATGCAGCGTCCTTTCACGTCCACATTGTCTTTAAAGGGCGGCCTGAGAGTTACGTTAAAGTTAGCATAGCTCCGTGTTAGCTTTTGTCCACATTAGCAGTCGCCTTGACAACCACATCAGCCTACCGTCTAGGTATGCAAGCTGATTGGAGTGAGATTGTGGTTTACTCTACTATCTTCCGGCCCAACTGTTGATGTATTACAGGTTATGTGAATAAGCTGGTCCAGCTTCAATCACTATTCATGTCTGCAGTCTGCATTTCATGTGAAAACGGCATCTATTATCACTGGGAAAACGTACTTTTTTAAATCATAATAATAAAACTAATAATAATAATAATAATAGCGTTCTATATAAGACACTGGTATTTGGAAAGACCAAATTCTAGCAAAGTTGTAATCATATGAAAATGAAATAATTGATATCTTCGCTCTCTCTGGAAGTTTAGATGAGTTAAAAGGTTTGTGCAACTCTTCTTGTCGGTCACCTAGTACAATACAGAATAAAAAACTCTTCACAATGTGGCTTTGACTGCAGG